GTACTAACCTCCTTTGCCTGAAATGATTAGTATCTTATGTTTGATGGCATTCATTCTCAGGTCAATTATCTCTTGGTCGGGGTCTGCTCCACCTGGAAACAGCAAGAAGAATCAACCAAAGTTGAAAGGTAACTTTAGACCCTGACAGAAGCATGAACAGCCAAAATTTTAGAAAATGGCACATTTTTGAGTGGTAACAACCCATGAAACCTGTCCAGTGAACAAACTGAAGTTAAAATGTGCAGCAAAAGTAGCAGTTGGGCAGTTCCACAGAAACATCAACCTCTGGGCCAAAATTTCAAACTGGTCCAAGTGTGACAAATTATTTATCATTTTAAAGCTTATGGTGTATACTTTTATGAAACATACTTCACTTCTACCAACATTTAATAATTTGGCTTCTATATGACACTGAAAAATTGGTTTTAAATACCAAGAAATTGGGGAAAATATTTCCTCTCTGAAAGATTGTCTGTTTTTTAGCCTGATAATAATTTTTTTGTTCCAATTTTGTTACAGTTTGAAGAGTGCCCCAATAAGTAAACAATGACAGAAATGAATTTTCATTTTCCTTTTGAAATTCTATGTATTGTCTTATTTTATAACACTTACTTTTCTCATGTATGTCCGACACCAAAAACTTTTTTTTTATCCCCTCAGTGCACCCTTTAGCAAAAGACCGCCAAATTGACAATACAAAGCACAATGAGTTCCTTCTTTCTAGACATTAGCTTAACTCCCCCAATTATTTTTTCAAATACTCAAAAATTGTGGAATCAGATGTGTACGTCCGACACCCTGTACGTCTGACACTGTCAGAACCATGCATTGCTGACAATGCAATGTTTTTACACTGTACAGAAACCACTACCACCTCATTTGCATACATGGAAATGAGGCCCTAACATTTTGTAAAAGTACCAAATAGGCTTCACTTTTGTTTTTTACTTATTTGCATAAATTTGACTATTTGGACATACACATCCTAATAAGGTTATAATCAGGGCCCAAAGCCATTCCACATGTGTCATGTGTGGACAAACATGTGCTTTGCATGTATTCAGAAGTAAGTCATGTCAGTGTGAACTTTGATGAAGACAAGTAAAGTTCTAGGTGTTGTATACATGTACATGTAATCCACATCAAGAAAGAAGAATTTTCAAAGACTAAACATACATGTAGGAGTGTTTTTTATACCTTTGTTCGAGGTACATGTAAAATCAGTTGGTTTCACTTTGTGTTGCTTGAAGCATTAAAGGGGGTGTTCCACTTGTATGCTTTCCATGGCATATACATGCACAGTACATATCATGAAACATACAATGTAAGATTGTAGTTTTAAAAGCATTATGCCATTAGTCTTAAATTTCAGTGAAAAGGATAATCTCTCAGCCTAATTGCCAGCCCAATCCTTTGATTTTTCAATCATCTAAAAGAAGGGTATATAAACATCTACCCATTTAGCTTCTTTTGGGGTTTTACATGTGTACTATAACCTGTGAAGTGTGAATTGGAAATCTTTAAAATTGCAGCTTAGTCCGCACGCAGCATTTGTCATACAAAAATATTTAATTTCATGTTCTAAGACCAAAAGACCTTACAGGTACATGTACATGTATGCAATTGTCTTTTAATTTGATTTATTTATCTAAAGGATTGTCAACTGTAGAAAACTTTTTTTAGTTTGAATGTCTGACAGTACATGACTTGTTTAAATGAGCAAAATTTGCATAAATACTTCTAGACAATATTTTCCTTCATACTGTTTCATTGAATACCCCATCATCCAATTACTTTCTAGTTGCTTTTGATGATTTTGTATGGCTTGGCATTTTCTTTTGCTTTGGAAAGTTTACTAAAGCCTTCATGAAGGTAGAAAAATGAGACAAGCTTGGGGTTTGAACTGATTACTTTCTATTCTGAAAAGTCAGTTTGGATGTGTACGTCTGACACCAAAAAATGTATGTCCAACACCAATATAATACATGCTTTATCTGAAAGTCACAACAAGATAAAAATGTGTCTTGCCTTGAAGTTTATTAACAAGGGTCTGCTAAAACTAAACACAGGAAAACTACATCTTCAGGTCCTAGCAATTCACAGAGTTTGTGATAAAACAATGGAAACTCAAAAAATTAACTTCCTCTTGAGTACCTGCGACACCATGGTGTTATGAACCAGTTTCTACAAGGATAATAATTCTGAGTGAGAAATTTTGTTATTAAATGAATGTACCAACTAGCTAATGTCTTTTATCAAAATCAAAATCTGCTCATGATCAAAATCAAAAAACAAGAAACCTCTGTCAGTATGCAGGTTACATGTGGGTTGAATAGTGCAGCCTGCAGAACATCATGAAGTGATACAGGATAGAGTGCACAGTATGGCAGGGGTGATATTGGGGATGAAGAGAAATCTACCAAACATCCAGAAGCAAAAATCAAACAATAAATATAGTAGTTTGAATTTTCAAAGCTTCAATAGCCAATAGGCATAAAATCTCTCCCAAAAGGCTATCCAAAAACCTCAAGAGATCACGACAAATCACACCTCTGGTAAGGTAGCATGGACCATACCTAGTGTGGACCATACCTAGATGTCCACACAGAGCAAGAAGGGACATTTCACCTTCTGTGAAAAAAATAGGTTGAAAGGCATTGGGGTAATGATTATCTGGCAAAGGAAGAACAGTCAAGGACGCTTTTTTCTAATCCAGCTGAATATCATGTTCACAATTCAAGAAAAGTGAGTATGTTAGCTGTGTTTTCTTAACTGCACAAAAACAAAAGAATATCCACACTACATGTAGGTATGGAGGATAAACATGGGTTTGATATAGCAACAGGTATGATATAGCAACAGGTGTGATATGTTTGTGTATGTCAGCAAGTTTAGTATGTCATTTGCATGTACTGGAACTGTTCCCGTTTGTAGTTCCACAAACTCATGGATACAGTCCAAAAATCCCAGCTAGAGGGTAAATTATGCTGACAAATTATTTCCAGTCACCTTGCTGTTGGCACAACATTTGCCCTGGACATCCCTTGCACACATCAGCTCTTCCAGCTAACGACTACAATATAAGCAACAAGTAGAAAATCAGCATTAGTGCTGTGCGTAATTGATTAATTTTATCACTTTTTCGTTTTAATCCAAGGTACTGGAAGGTTGTTTTGAAAAGGAGAAGCAAAGTACACATAAGAGATTTCCTACACAACATTGCACAATCAAGCCATTGTGCAGATTGACAGATGGTGCCCAACACGTACATGTACATTTCACTGTCAATACCTAATGGCTTTTCAGAACAGATGACAACCATTTTACTTTAACAGTTAATGACCAAGTTTACTTCAAAGATGTACAGTATGCCACACTAAATGCAAAACAGGTAACCAGCCTACTTTCTGCTGCTGTGGTCTTTAAGGGTATGAAAAAATGAGGCTGCATCTGAATCTCTTGTCTAGAGCTAGGTCTAGGTCTTTGCTCCATTGGAAATGCATGGAGACGCACAGATAATAGACCCAGCCGTAGCTCTGGAAGCCTGTTTTGGACACAGCCTAAGACATGCTTAATTCTGTGGGTGTCTACTAGCAGACCCAGGGGACTGCAGCAGGAGTCATGACCCATTCCAGAGGAGCAGAAAAAGGGTTGTTTCTGAAGAATAATAAGACTTTTCTTTCTTCCAAATGTAAACAAACTTGGGATGATTGTAGCACTGGGGCTCTAGTACAAAACAGGTCACTGGAACAGCCCAATGGGACCATCAAAGGACCATACAGATAACATAATGGAATGTATTAGAAATATTTTTAGGTCTGTGCTAAATAACCAAATGATTATCTAATATTTGATTAGCATTTTTTATACTTGAATATTCCTATGCAAAATTCATGAAAAAAGGGAGAACTTTCTTCTTTAAAATGAGAAAAGTTGCACTATGGGGCTTGTTTAAAGCAGATTTCAGACACGTCAAGGCAGGTAATATGCTCACTTGTCCAATCCATCCTACAACATAGAAATAATAATCATGAATGTGCCAATTAAAATAGTATTCTTTATGATAATGATGTATTGATGCAAACGTTGGTGAAATAAAATGTGATCTTCATGACAATCTTTCAACTTGAAATCAAATGACTGAAGGACCGAGGAGAAAGATCGCTGCAGAAAAAAATAGAATTGTATGAAGTCTCTCGGCAACCACAAATTGTGGCATCGGAGACATTTTCTTATAGCGACAATAATCTTTGATTAATCGTGACTGGAGATAGTTTTAAAAGCGAGAAGCTATTATAGTGATTATAATATACAATTGTGTACATTAATGCGACTGATTTTGTATTTTGGTTTGTTCATCAACAATCTTCCGGCTGGTGGGACCGAACATTCGATTGAATTGAAGGTCAAATATTCAAAAAGTCAATTATTTGAATTGACTCAGCCCTAACATTTTACTAAAATCCTTGAAATTGCTCAATTGTATTTCAATTAACGTTATTTCAAATTTTGTTCTACTTTAATCTGTACCGGTATTTCTGGGCCTTTTTGGTTTTGTACTTATGAGCAAAACTGTAACATACATTGTAATCTGAGGTAATGAACTTCAAATTTATGGGCCATTCTTTGGACTTTTGAACCCTTTTTGAAAATAATGAAGTTGGTGATATTAACTGTTTATCATTAGTATTAGTATTAAAGAAAGTGATGCTTGAAGTTACTGAAGCCACATTTTTTTCATTTACAGACAGGCACATCTACTTTGCATAAATTACTATTAATTTGATTTTTGTATTCAAAATAGCCTTTTTATCCCTAACTTTAATGTCATGACTTTTTAGCACGCACTTTTATTTATCATCATTTGCCTGTTGTGATGAGTGTCTTTGACTTACATTTTGTGTCAGAAGTAGTCAATAATTAATGAAGAAATTAAGGACTTGTGTCACAGAAGTAACTAAAATATGGAGAGTTTATACTATGTGCAACTGATCAGGCATTACCTCAATTATGGCCAAACTTTGTTTCAAAAGCTCATTTTATCACGCCTTCTACATGTACATAATGTCCATTAACTTTACACACTATTAATAAATTTGGCATTAATCAATTAATGTGTCAGTTACAAGTGGACATTTTTGGTATGAATGTGTGATAGACTACACGTATGCATGCACCTCTATGCACAATGTGTGTGCAATGCTTACACATGTACATGTACATGTACACTGTACACATTAGTAGAGCCATGTCAGTCAAAGCATGCTTACTCACATATCATTCGTAATGTCCAACTTCTGTCCAATGATATAACAGGAGTAACTGTGAACCATATGGACATTTGCATGCATGTACATGTATATGTGCATGTATAGTACATACATGTACATTGTACATGTATAGTTTCTGCCTGCACAAGCAGCAGTTACATGTACCCTGGACTGGAGAGTAATTAGTACTTTATCTATTATTATCTCCATCCAGTAAGTGTGTGTTAAAAAACCTTCATCTGTTAATAAAGATTTCCTTTAGTAGTTTGTGTGTAGGCCTATACATGTATGGTAATAATTCAGTGTGCAACCTTTTATCAGGAATGTTTGTCAAAAGCAAATTTGAGGTTCAAAATTTGAGCATGAAAACATGCAAATTGAACAGTGTCTTGCTGGATTGACAAACATGTACATGTATATCACAATAACACTAACAGTGACCTCACTCATCATGCTTGTCAGGAAAAGCTTGGTCAATATTTAATGTTTAGGCCTATCATGTTACCAGTTACTTCAAATAGTTTTCACAAATCGACGAGTTTAAATATGCACAAAAATTTATTCGAAGGAAAATTCATTGCATGGATCCTTCCTTTAGAGTGACTATGTGGGTCCTAAGGCTAAAAGATTTCTATAATTAAGTTCAAATATGGGGCACAATTGACCTTTATCCATGTGACAACTTAACTCTTTTCGCGATGGATCAATGTTACTGTACGACTGGTCAATAACTGCGCCACCACCGACCATTTCTAATTTAAATTGTTACATATGTCAACAGGCATAGGTCTACTGTACATACATACATACATACATACATGTACGGATGCCAGTCATTGTTTCGTACAGTGTACTTCGTATATGGAATTCTTCCCATCGTCTTCATTCAGCGATCAAAGTAAGGATACTTTTGTAGTAATTACGCGATATTACAGTGAACTTCGTATATGGAATTCTTCCCAAGTTCAATTTGAGAGGGAAAACACCAAGTTGTTTAGTTAGAAAACACTTTTCAGAAATTTTCAGACTAGTCTCATACTACATGTACAGGGTTTGTCATGTTTGTGCACAGGGTGTAACGCCTTCAGTATCAGGGGCGTCCGAACTCTTCACGTTATGGCATGATTCTACCTCCATGGTTATGGGCCTAGCTGGCCAACTTGTATCTAGGCGTAAATTTTGAACGTCATGTTACACAGACCGTTTCTGAGGGACAACCAACTGCTGTTGCTGTGTCCAATTGCTCCTTCGTCTCCATGTTAATTTTTAGTGCAATCCCGTGTCCATCCTCCATGCATGGTGCGATCGGGCAGTACATGTACACACTCAAACGTCACAACAGGTCAATCGTCCTCGCTCGACGTAAAACGATCCGAAGAAAAAAGTCTCATTTCATTCATGCATGTCAATAGGTACGTACACAAGAGTTGGCCATTGGATTGATCTATGGCACTACATGTACATGTACACCAAATACGCGCCCATAGAAAACAGTGCAAAACCGGACGGAAACAGCGCCGCCCCGCCTGTTGACTCTCGATCTCGTGAAGGGTGCAGATCTCTTATTCAAGTGAGAATTTCTGGCCAGCTCATTAGCATTAAAAGTGCCCCCGCAGTATCTTTTGAGGAAGGAGATTGTTTGGCCCCAAAAATGGTGAGATTGTGTAAATCGCGGACAGGATGAACTCCTGGGTCTTTGGGCTTTTATATGAGAGCAGAATGGCTAAAAACTACGGTTGAAAATGGTCCTAAGTGCTCTAAAAGTTGAGGGTTGCCACTTGAGAAATGGCTGCAATCAGATTCGGAAAAATCACTTTTCGGGGGGTGATTTTGTTTTGTGGGAATAATTAAAAATGTAATTGGTTAACCCACAAAAATATTGAACAGAAGTTGAAAGATTAGTGACCAGACAAGAATTTCATTTGTGTTTCAGAAATCTCAGGGATGTTGGCGTGCATGTTAATGGGCCCTGAACAGTGCTGATTTTACACTGTTTTCAAAGGGGCTTGAATTAGTGGACTGTACCCTGAAGAGGTTGGCCTCCATTTTTTTCACTGGAAATTCAAAATTATGGACATAAGATCACTTTTCGTTTCGATTTTATGGGGGTTAGCCACGAAATTTTTTTATTCGCCTTTTAACGACGATACGCCCGAAATAGCAGTAAATTAAAGGAAAAACATGGACAGCAGCTGGCCGTGGTGAGGGTTTGCGGGTTTCTGCGCATGCGTATTTTATAACATTGAGGCATGTTCGGATGTCTTATAAATCAATCTAAATTGTCTTAGCTAGGAAACAGTCTTTAACAAAGATGTTTAAAAGAAAGGGGGTATGTTTGAATTTCGATCTATATATAGCAGACACAAAATTAATGAGCTCGTATTAGTTGTAATAGGCCTATGGGCTGTTTTCTCTTTTTTATATTCCTGAAAATAAGGACTGTATACATTTTAACAGTACTTCATGGGGATGACTGTTTTACAATAATGCAGGTGAATAAAGTCACTCAATGAAAAAGTGCAATCTTCACAGCTGGGTGTACAGTTTACAAGTTAATGATGAAAGCCGAGGATTAAAAAAAGATTCCATCAACATATTTGCAAGGAATTGATAAAAACTGTAGCATCAGGACAGAAAAACAGCGGAATTTCATTGTGGAGCGGTTTTCATTATTTTTTTCTTTCTTAAAAGCAACAAAGAGCAAAGCTGTATGGCGTAAGTACATGTTGATAGCTCCCTGACATATACTACAAACAAACAAACATTGCACTGGGTACTAAGGTGTTTTTCGCTTCATACACCTCAATTTATTACAGACTGCAGGTCTATAAAGTAAAACTCCTTGGAATTTGTTAGTTTGAGAAACCTCTCTAAATATTTAGATTTTCTCTTCGCCAACTAATTGTTATGTAATAAAAAGGAGTGATTCCAGATTTAACAATATATACTGAAACACCAACACAATCCCGAAAGAGTAGAAACAGAACAGTATTTTACTAAAAAAAAGTGATATGCAACTTGAATAAGCATAAACATTAATCGTCATAATAGACCAAAAAAAGCTAACAATCTCACGCGTGGGCAAAATTCAGGACATTATGCATCGGCAAGATCAGTTTGATTTCAGTTGATCGTCCACTTTTGGAAGATTAAAGCAAAATTAAAGACCTCAACTCAAAGTTTGTTTCAAATGAGCGACAATACCGATTATAAAGCCAATTAATTAAATTATAACAGATTAACCAATTCAACTACTTGAAAACCCTATTTGAACTGTTCCTGGCACGACCTCATCTGGCACGGACGCACTCTTGTAGGCAGTGTTCCGAACATGGCTTCCCAAATTATTTGTCTTTGCCGAGTGAATACGCCTCAATCAGCAAGTGTTTGTTTTTAAGACTTCTGTGCATAAAGTTAAACAAAACAAATAATGTCAACAAAAAGTGAGGGCAAATACCTAAACTGAATAGTTTCAAATAAAAAAAAATAGTAATAATGACGATTAAGGTTCCGAAATTTGAATGGGAACCGAGCATAGCCTTAGGCCTATGCATTTTGTTTTGACCATTTGTACTGTCCATACATTACATCAAGTTGGCCGTAACAGTGAAACTCAGTGGATGTAGTTCAGCATTTACATGCTTTTACACATTACTAAAGAATTCCTGAGCATGAATATTTTATTTGCCTTAGAAAAATTTAGTACTGTGTCCCTGGTGGACGGCGGAATAGTGAGTAAGGCAGTCAGTGTTGGTGTTAATATTAAGTGGTTGTGTTAGGGTGAATGAAATTTTACGGATTTTTTACCCAATCAAATGTTGCATTCATATAAATCCTTGGATTGCCTGCAGTAATTGCTATGCATGCTTAAATGTTATCAAGTTTCTTTGTTCCCATCTAAAACTGCTTACACTTATTACTCCCACATTTTCATACACCTTTGATGTAACAGTCGTCAGTCGAAATATAATTATAAGGAAACGTAAAATAACATTGCAAATTTCCGAAATCCAAAATTATTCTGATTGTTTTCCTATAGGGATATGCTCGTTGATAACAGGAATGAAATCAATGCTGTCTTGTGCTTAGCTAACAGAGCCAAACAAACGAGCGAAGCCCTTCTTTCACAAAACACCACATCTCTTGAATCGGACACCACAAGAAGCAAGTAGCAAGCTCTCTGAGCCTGATGACCATTGACTCTCGATGGACGCTGGAAGCCCTTTGAAAAATTGGTGACGTTGGTGGAAAGTCTTGAAAACCGTCACGCGCAAAAATGAAAACGAAATGTTTTTATGAACCATCATGCCTTTTACATTTTAAAGGTGAGCTTCTTTACTTGTGCTACATCAGAAAAGACTCTTATTGATAACATTATAGCCATTAATGTGTGTGAATCTTATATTTCACACTTCATGAGAAAAAGAGATTGCAAACTGATAAAGCTATCTAAAGCTTACGTAACGAAATTCTCAAATTCATGATCCATATACTCCAATAATTGAAAGATTAAAAAGTGTAGACCGAAGCTCTTCGCAAAACTGCCCTGGCAAATGGAGGCAAAAGCAAGTACACACGATAAGCATCTTTTAATTTTTTTTGTAGATTTTATTAGAATATTCATTTGTGTATGGAATTCCATATCTGCCGTCGCCTGTCGTGCGTCGTCCGTCGTGCGTCGTCCGTCGTGCGTCGTGCGTCGCCCGTTTTTTTTTTTGTCACGATTGCGCAGTGGTATTTTTAACTTTGACCCTTTATCGTTTCACAGGTACATGTCCTTGTTTGATCGATCCACCATGCCTGACTCTCATTTTAGCAATAGAACTAGAAGATATACATGTATTCGTTTTTGCAGTTGCACCGAACTCCACTTGAAATAAGAAATAATATCCTGACATCGGCGTATAAGTTACGTGTATATGAAATAGGGTAGATAGGGTAGGTAGGGTAGATAGTTTTCCTCAATAACTTAGTTACTCTAGACGTAACTTTACTCATTAACGGCCTGAC